TTCCTGAAATTTTCTCAGGTGCCCAAGCCTCTTCTCTCCTACTTCAAAATACCATCCCAATATTTATTTGTTTCTTTGTTTATTGGTACCAGGGATTGAACCCAGGGGCATTCAACTCCTGAGCCACATCCCCAGCTCTTTGTATTTATTTATTTTTAAATTTTGAGATAGTGTCTTGCTAAGTTGCTTAGGYCTCGGTAAGTTGCTGAGGCTGGCTTTGAACTTGCAATCCTCCTGCTTCAGCCTCCCGAGCTGCTGGGTTACAGGCGTGAGCCACTACACACAGTTTGTATTTATTTTATACAAAAATAAGCTCAGCTTCTTGTGACAAGTTAAAACCCCAAGGCAGAGCAGAAGATGCTTCGATTTCCACAATAATTTTTCTTAGCAGCACAAAAGATAGCTGCGAAAAGAATCCCATAGGGTACKTGTCACCTCTCCTGGCCAAGAAGAACTGCTGCAGAGGTGGCCTCTCTTTAAATATTTGTGAGATGAGGGAGTAGCCCACTAAATGCCCCAAGGCCAGGAGTCTTCTCTTCTTGTCCCAGGACAATACTTTCATTTTGAGGGGTGGATTCTGGTCAGAAACTGGAAGGTTATTCTTTTTGTTTTGAACATGAGAATGAAAACTTGGGAGATGGTTCTGGTTTTAAGATTCATCCCATTCCTTTTTTCCCTCAATCACAAGAGGCAATTGTTTGATTTCCACTCTGTTCCCCTCAGTCCTCCTGGTTTTTAAATGACCTTCCTTCACTCATCTCATGAGCTGGAAAGGACCAAGACAGCACATCTACCTTCCAACCAAGCCCTGACACCAGGTCCTGCTGGTGGACTCGGTGGCGGTGGCGGGGGGAAGGGTGACAAGAGCAAGAACTTGCTGTGAAAGCGACCTCTGGAACCAACGTGGTTTTTGTCCTGGTAATGCCTTAGCCGCCCTCGCTGCCCACTCTACTGCACCGTCCAGGTCAGAAGTATCTTCTCACTTGCCTCTCTGAGCTCAGTCTTCTCCAYTTACCCAGCTCCTGAATAAAGCGTACTTATGAGCAAACAGGAAAGCACTCCCCTAAGTGGAGGATCATCAGGATCCCTCAGGATCCACCAACATGTCAACAGCAGCAAAATACAAAGACCTGTCRACACTGCCCAAGTGCTCTTCACTTCTTACCTTTACCGGTTGTACCCTGACCTTTACGACAGTTATGCCCTGTGCTGTTACTTTTATGGGGTCTTCTGTGTTTTAAGTTAATTATAAAAGTTGGAATTAAGTTACTGGGTTATGTAAATAGCCCACTGCAATCACATCACAGGCAAGAGCTATCTTTCTCTGTAGGTCAGAAGTTTCTAGCATCAAGATCAAGTGTCAAACAACAGGCTTAACTTTGTGTGTGTGTGTGTGTGTGTGTGTGTGTGTGTGTGTGTGTGTGTTGCTGGTGATAGAACCCAGGGTTTCACAAAAGGTAAGCAAGTACTCTACCACTGGGCTATGTCCCCAGCCCTTTAAAAATTTTAATATTATTTTTGTATTGGGATTGAACCCAGGGGAACTTTCCTACTGTGCTACATCCCCAGCCTTCTTAATTTTGAGACAAGGTTTCCCTTAATTGCTCAAGCTGGCCTCAAACTTGCAATTCTCCTGCATCAGCCTACTGAGTTGCTGGGATTTACACCTTACTCCCTAAAAATGCAAGGATAAAAAGTGCTTTATTCTGGGGGAACAACACCTGAGAAGAAGCCTCAGTTC